AAAGTGCCAACAATATGAATTGATTTTCCACAGTACATACTGTGCTGACTACTGCAAGCATTTATGGGGGGGGAAAAAAAAAAAAAAAGAAATCTGATCTCACTAGAAATCCATTTAAGTAATTTTAAGATAATCAAAATTCTTTGTCCAGATATGTGTACACACTACTCTCAGAGGGCTTCTCCACTAATTTATCTGTAAAAGTTATTATTATAACACTGTCGTTCCTGGCAGTAACCACTGACAGTTCTTAGCAATTTTAAAAACATTATTTTCAAAAACTATTAACCTTCTTTCTTTTTTCATACTACTGACAGTTCTGTTCAATATTTCAGTGATTTGTAGACACATGAAAATAAACTCAATTTGCTAGAAGGAAGACAATATTTCAGAAAAGACAAAATACTTTTGACATTTTTATGCCTGCAACTGCAAGATGTGCTCAGAAATAAAACAGAGATCCTAGGGGAAAACCTACCTCACAATTACAAAGAACAGTGAACTTATGGGACAACATTCTCTCAGGTAGCATGTGGTCTTCCATTTCTTTGTCTGATACATGGATAGCAACATTCCTGAAGTTCTCATAGATAGACTTATGTAAAATTTGTATGCTAGAAGGTGTACAGAACTGTGCTGAACAAGGTTAGTAACAGAAGCCACATGAACAGATGTCAAGGAAATAGCTATTAAGCAACTGCCATATGTCCAACTGTAGCAGCTCCAATCCCATAGTATAGGCATAAAAATATTTTCTTTTAACCCTCACAGCCCACTAAAAAGACTTGGTAACCTGCCGTTAATAAAATATTCACAATCATTACTACCACTACCCTACTGTTAGCAGAAAATCATTGTCTAAGGGAACAGATCAATCCCTCCATCACAGGGATTGCAAACAAAGTGAAGATTAAGTCATAGGGTCACCCAGAACAGTTGTATTACCCCTATGTTCAGCAACTTTTACCAAATAATACTAATACTATTTACCAAAATAATAATAGCACTGAATCATTTTGTCTCGGGGTGGATTGCTGCAGAATCAGCTCAGTACTCTAGTGATTTTATTTATTTATCTATTAAACAACAGTGACACACATCTACAGCGTATCTGTACTGTAACACAGATATTCTTTACTGCACACAATCTAATTCCATGTGAAGATCCATCATGGATCTGTCAACCTGTCTGCTATCAGTAGCATTCCCATAATTCTGGCATCTCGCATGCACAAATCCTGTGGCAAAGGGGAAAGCATTCTAGAAGCAAAGTGAATACTGACGAATGAAATGTTGCTTCCATTTTGCACAAATCACAGTCTACAGTTCTATGTTTTGACCAAACGCTGATCCAAATAAAAAGCTCTCTGTTAACAGATTGCAGTTCAAAATGCACATCTGCCTTCTTGCCCGATATCTCCATGGGAATTTTGTGGCTTACAGCAGTGCACTGCAAACTAGGGTTTGCAAACAATGTAGAAAGTACAAGAAGTTGAGTACTGCATGTATGTGCCTTATAAATATATAAATAAGCTATTCTGAGGGAAGTGTACTGAAAATTATTTGCGAATAGTGATGTGCAACCAAAAAAGTTTGGAGACCCATTTGCTTACAGCATGACTACAGGAGAAAAAGAGATTCCAATATTTCAGCCATTTCAAATGGACTGAGAATACTAAAATATCTTTCTGTTGGTGGGCTTTGGGTACAAGTTCCCATCTGAGAAACAGAGGAACTTACCTTGTTACAAAAACAAGAAGAAAGGCTATTCAAGGTATCTTAAGCGTTCTCAGGTAAACTTTAAGCCCTGCTGTGTTCAACTCCCAACTTCTACTGATTTTAACAAGACCAGAACCTCATTCACCTCTTTGAATAGAATACAAAGATGTTTTCAACAATGTGAAGACAGTATACAGACCATAACCAGCTTAAAATGCACTCACAGTTTACAGAGCACACGAAACAATAGTATTAAAAGTAAAGCAAAGCTAGACTTCAGGTTTAGTTTTCAAATGTTTCATAGCAGCAGAATCTGCGATTTCAGAAGTAAATGAGGCTACTTTTCTTGTAAAATGTTTAAGACAAAAAGCTTAGGCCAAAATTTAGAACAACTTTTATTACTAGCTTTTCTTGACTCATTACCTATAGCTCAAGAGATCCTGAAGAAAAGTTTTCCCACCACCACAAACAAGATTTATTTTGTAGTTTACCGCTTGTATAATCGATGGATATCAAGATGCTACAATCACAATATAAACAAGAGATTTAGGCAAAGTGGACTACGATAACAAAAGAGAATAAATGGAAGGGTTACCCTTAGTTGGGCTCACCACAAAACACCAGAACGAGGGATCTCCAGACGAGATCCTTCCCCACTGGCAGCCAGCTCTTAAATAGGTCTAGGAGCCCAATTGCCTTCACCTGTGCTCCTGTGGCTGACTCAGTGCTCGCCTCAGGTGATCAACCAGAGGTTCAGGCCGTGACTCAGTAGTTCCCATACACCGCTCTTGGCCAGACACATAGTGCCCTAAAACAATGCTTTATCATCCATCCATCCATCCAAAAGGCCTGACTGATATTTCAGGATGATAAAAACTGAGCAGGGATAGGTTAGTCAGGAAACCAATACTAGAACTGCTATAACATCCAAAATTTTAGTGCCAAGACTTGCTCTAGCTGGAAAGAGCACAACAGCAGAGCAAATAAGCACAATAAAACATGATATAGTTTAAACTGAAATTACAGGCTTGATGAAAAAAACTTAATACAAGCTATATATTCTGTGCTGTAAAGGTTCTACATTACAATCAAGCAATTGTAACTTCTTCTATAGTCTACTAATTCATCACTAAACAACCACTAGGACATGTTCAAGCTACTCCTCCCTGTGTAAAACAGTCCCAGTGAAATGAGTATATACTCCTGTACTAACACTAAATTAACACTGGCAAGACATTAGCTCCATTACAATTACCTGATAATTGCAGAGTGAGATGAAGCATGTCTGTTGCCTATTAGGTCCAACAAGAGATTTTAAATATTTTGTGAACATTTCTCCTATTCACACTTCAAACGTGTTTCTATAAAACTTAATGCCATTCAACCCAATTGTAATCAGATATTCTCTAGTCTCAACCTGACAAAGGGAAAAGGATTTTGTAATCTAATTGTGGTCTTGTTTAATAAAGTCTTACACAACAGTGTAAAGAAAAATAAAGATACTGTTCTAGATATTCTAATACAAATAAATCATTTCATATGACTGATTCTTTTACCAGTTATTTTGTATGGATGAGAATTAATCATTTTACTATACAAATATTACATGTATTTATAACCTCAAAGAAAAAAATATCTTACTGTAAATATGGATATTAGGGGACAAAATATTTTGGATGTCAGCCAATCAGTTTCACACACAGTGCAAGGCAGGAAAACACTACTTTTGCTGTCTGTGCTAGGAAATAGAACTGTTCTTGCCAGCTTAGATACTGACTGATTTTTTTTTTTTATATTCTGTTTGTAGCAGTAAATACAAAGGGCTGCATGGCTGTAGCTAAACTAAAAAAATAAAAAGGAGTTACTAAGCAAAGGGATGCAGAGTGGAAAAGGGGAGAATTAGAGATACTGGCTGACCACCACAAGAGAAAGGATATCAAAATGTGAATGTGAAATGTGAAACATGAGTATGAACATGCAAAACAAAATATTCTGTTGAAAAGGCTGGGTGGATGGATATGAAATAAGAAGAAAGGGGCATCTGATGGCTGATTTCAAGGGAGAAATAAGTGATATGTCTGATACCTTTGTTTATGGCAGTAAAGGGAAAAAAGGGCATAAGCACATAAATATCGGTGCCACAAACACCTTTTGTCTGATTCCTGACAGTGCTGTGCATGAACAGTTACAAAGTTTTTACTGAGAAGGTTTCAAAAACCATAGAAATAAGATAATAGAGCAAAAGTGAAAGTAGTGAAAGAAATGTTACACTTTCCACTTATTTAGTGAAACTGACGCGCTGCGTCATTAGCCATTTTGCCCTGAAGAGTTCAGCTTAATTCCTCTAGTCAGTATCGTGTATGAAGGTCGTGTATTTTCTGAATTATTTTCCAGATTCAAAGTTCTCAAGTTTTTTTAAACCCCAACAACTCTTTCAGTGAAAACTCTCTTCTGTCTGCTTGTTACCTTAACTCCAGTGCTTCACACGCATCCATTGAATGCACCTGGAGCCAAATGATCTTCAAGGTCGCTTCCAGCGCAAATCATTTTGTGATGCTATGATTCACAGTATGAGCTGTGACCAACATTCCATCCCTCATGTACAGTATGACATGTCACAGTGAGAGCACCTGCACTCTGTGGTCTCAGCCCTATGGCCTTCTTAAGGTCCAAGAACATTCTGACATTCCAGGATTCCATTACCTAATAGGTACGTGAAAAGTATCATAGGAGGAAGGAAGTACAACTTCCACATGAAGCAGTGGGCACAATCTGGAACACAGGAGGCTCCATCTGACCATCAGGCAGCACTTAAGCTCTGTGCAGGTGACAGAGCAGTGGACATGCTGCCCAGAGAGGCTTGGAGTCTCCTCCTTGGTGATCTCCAAACCCCGCCTAGACATGGCACTCTGCTCTGGGCGTCCCTGCTTGAGTAGGGGTTGGACCACATGGATCCAAACTCATCTGGTCTACAGCTCTGCGCTAAACCTGAACATCCAGCTTAAAGAATGAAAACAAACAAACAAAAACAAAGCAACCCCTACCTTGCCTATAGACCCTACTTTGACTAAGCACCCACTCAAGCAAGCAAACTTTCTGCGCACCGGCTATTTTCACGCCTGGGATCGCAAACAATCGCCTCCTCCATATCCGCACCTCTGTCTCCGCGCGAGCCGGGGCTGAACTCGGGGACGGGCGGGCGGCTCGCGGGGACGCGCTGGCGGCAGCTCCCCCTCCCCCGGGGCCGTTACCCCTCCCGCGTTCCCTCCTGCGGCTCTTACTCTTTGGCGGAGACACCCAGGATCCCGGAGCTACTGCGACTCCCGAGCTCCTTCTTCTTGCCGCTCTTAGAGGCCATCCCGGCAGCGTCCGCCACGTTGCCGGGCGACCTGACGCGCCGCAGGTAGCGGCTCAAGCTCCGCCCTGCGGCCCAGGGCCCCTTGGGCCAGCCCACGCCACGCATGGCGCCGCTACTCTACAATCGGGACGGGGAGAAGCGGGCGACGGCGCTGCCGGCCGGGAGCTGTTGCCTCTCCGCGCGCGGCCTCGTCGCGTCCGAGGTGCAGCAGGGCGGGAGTGCAGAGGGGTCACGCGGCTCCCTCCGCGCGCCGCGCCCGGCCGGAAGGGGTCTGCGAGCATCGTGGTTCAGGGGCAGAGGTGGGGGCAAATCCTGCCGTGTAAGAGAGGGGCAGAAGCCATCTCAAAGGATGCGGGTATTATGCCGGGTATATTACCCTTAAGAAGGGTATGGCTGCAGCCGAAGAAAAGACTTGAAAGTGAAACGGTATTTATAGTTATTTGTTGTAAAAGGTGGTAACCTAAACTCCTGCACAAAGCACCTCTGTAGAAAAAGACTGATTGAATACTTTTTTCCTGAATCTTTCTAAAGACAATAGTTTGGAAAAAAAGAAAGTCTGAAGACATGTTGGAGAGGGTCCAGAATAGGGCCATGAAGACGATCAGGGGGCTGGAACACCTCCCTGTGAAGACAGGCTGAGAGAGAAAAGAAGGCTGCGGGGTGACCTCATTGCAGCACTTCAGTACCTAAAGGGAGCCTACAAACAGGAGGGGAGTCAACTCTTTGAAAAGGTTGATAACAGCAGGACGAGGGGAAATGGTTTTAAGTTGAGGGAGGGAAGATTTAGGTTGGATTCAGGGCGAAGTTCTTTACAGAGAGAGTGGTGAGGTGCTGGAACAGCTGCTCAGAGAGGTTGTGGATGCCCCATCCCTGGAGGTGTTCAAGGCCAGATTGGATGGGGCCCTGGGCAGCCTGGTCTAGTATTAAATGGGCAGGTTGGTGGCCCTGCATGTGGAAGGGGATTGGAGATTCATGATCCCTGAGATCCCTTCCAACCCTGGCTGTTCTGTGATTCTGTTTACATAGAATCATTAAGTTTGGAAAAAACCCTAAAACTCATCTAGTCCAACTACCAACCCATCCCCACCACGTCCCTCAGTGCCACATTGCCCCTTTTCTTGAACACTTCCAGGAACAGTGACTCCAGCACCTGCCTGGGCAGCCTATTCCAATGATTTATCATTCTGGAAAAGAGATTTTTCCTAATAGTCAACCTGAACCTCCTCTGGCGCATCTTGAGCCCATTCCCTTTGATCCTTTCAGGGGAAAAGAGGCCAAGTCCTATCTTGCTACAGTCTCTTTTCAGGCAGTCATAGAGAACAGTACAGTCTCCCCTGAGCTTCCCTTTTCTCCTGACTGATCAGCCCTACTTCTCTCAGCCACTCCCTGTAACAGCTGCACTCCAGATCCTTCATTGCCCTTCTCTGGGCACAATCCCAGGCCTAAATGTCTTTTTTTGGAGGGGCACAAAGCTGAACACAGTACTTAAGGTGCAGCCTTAGCACTGTCACATGAAAAAAAAGTGCATTTTGTTATGAATATTATAATCACATGAATAAGTTTCTGTTGAACAAATAAAGAGCAAGAGTAACCAGCACTTGCTTCAAACAGAGACATTTTTGGTCCACTACATACTAGTACATAAAAAGCACAAAGACAAGAAACCAACCAACCAAGTAGTTATGTACTTTGTAGGGCAGTCAGAGATGGAATGTACAAGCATTTACCCTTCTCATATCAGAATAGAAGAGATAAGCTCCTGACAGGAAGCCTATGATTCCTAGAGTGAATAGAGTTTCACCAAAGTCAACTGCTTTAGGATTCAGCAGACACTCACCTCATCTAACTAAGGTGACTTATTCAGATGCAGTCCAGAGATTACATTATTCCTAACAACTCATTTCTAAATAACTCAACCTTATTGCCATTCTCCAGTCTGCACTGCATAATGAAAAATCCTCCATAGAACATATATCTATTCATTTAGTTTTATTCAAGCTAAGCCTTCCTGAAATATGAAAATCAATGAAAATTTGTCAAATCATGAAGGGCACGAGTCTCAAAAGACAAGGCAAAATATGTAATGCTGCTACACCTAGAGGCTTTAGAGAAATATCAGATCTTGATTTAAATCAAGATGACAGAAAGCCAAACATTTTGCAATTTAAAAGTATAAAGTACTTCAGCATCTTTGCATTTCCTTCAGTATTATGTCCAGTGGCACTCATTTTGAATAAGGTACCTTGAGACACTTCTGACTTGAGAATCAAGTAAACGTCTCTGGTTTATTTATTTTCAGTCTGAACAGCTGACCATCAGCCAATTCTGCTATCAAACACTGATCAAGACATACAGATGAATGCTCTCAGACAGTACCAACACAGGACTGTCAGCCTCCCCCATAGGATTCAGAGGTATCTGGGACAGTTCTCCTCTTCAAAAAATTTGGTCCCTGATCCCAAGCTGCAGGGGACTAGCAAGGTTTGCAGCATCTGAGCAAATTTAGTTATTGTAGTACTATTATATGAAAGACAACAAATGTGAGAACTTTGGTGTGTCTGTAAGCATTTTTGGGTGACAAAGAAGGAAGGAAGGCCTGAAAGCAAGAACGTATTCAAGCTACAAAACTCTTAATTCTTTGCTCTATTAAGTAATAATCACTAAATATAAAGTTAAATATATGCCTTTTAACATGATATTTTACAATACATTTATTTGTGATAGCAATGGCATTAAAAGCACATACCGGTGTGGTTTGTGGGAAAAAAAAAAAAAAGATTCTAAAGTTTTACATCAAGGTACTTTTGTACTTTTTTTTTAAGGCCACGATTTCATGTGGAATGCCCTGTGAGAGCAGTTTGTTTGGAAAATGAGTTAATCTGAATTTTTTAAAATGCTTGTTTCCAGTTGGCAAAGAATCTGTAAGGTCAAATCAGCTGTTTCACTGGCCGTGAAGCATGTCTGACAGATAACTCCTGAAAGGAAAAGATGTTAGGCAAGAGGCAGCCTTACAGATGGAAACAAATAAATTTATGATTAAAAATGAACAGTGCAGTTGTCTGTCAGAAATCCATAGCAATAACTGAATGGATCCTGAGGTAACACATACTTACCACAGCAATGGATGGGTCACATCCTGAAAAATGTTCTTCTAGGATGCAATTCAGAACACTGTTTTCTTGTTGTCAGCATTATTTTCTATTGTTCTTTAAAACATTACACAGTCAACTGCTGTTGTCAATTCAATTTTAGTCATAAGTATTGTGCTTTTTTTTTCTTTTTTTCTTTTTTTTTTTTGTAGCTGTAAACACTAGTTGTAGAGAACAGGAAAACAATAACCATTAACAGGAACACTATCAAAGTTTCTCTCTGAGGTTTTGGGACGCAGACTTAACTCTTCTCTGATTTTATCAAAGGCATAAGGATTCCAGAATAAGACAGGAGACATTTTCCATCTTGAGAATGTCTGGAAATGTGGTAGTGAGCAGATTTTATTAGTGTGCTGAAATACCTGATGGGAAGACTACAAATGATACTGTGCAAGTCAAAACAAAGTTCCACTTAAAAATACAAGGGCTGCTTGGTGTTTTTTTCTTTTTAATGACGGTAGCCAAACACTAGCATTAACCTTCCAATGGGACTGTGGACTCACAAAACTGAATGCGGTCATGACCAACTCTGCTGGAGTTAATGTTGCTCTGCACAATGCCCTGATGCCCCTTCCAACCACAGTTACTCTGCAGTTCAGCAAAGTTTAAGTTAGACATGCAAGGATGAAGAAGATACACTGAATCTTTAGGTATAAGAATGCTACAAAGCTCAGCTCAATAGGATATGGAAGGGAGGGTACAATTATTTTGATTTTTTGGAAGGGTTTAGATTTCAAGTTTCTTTTTCTTTTTTGTGGCAGTTTTTGAATTATTATTTAAAAAAAAAAAACTAGAAAGTTTTAGGCTCCCACTGAATTATAAATAAAGAAAATTGCAACTAGCAACCAAGTACAAAAAGTAGAAATGCACAATCTTCCACCCACTGCCACTTAAAACTACCTAGTAGCAATGTATCTTACTTGATATTTTGGGGGGATATTTTTTATACTAATCCAAGCTGCACTCCAATTCCATGTGGTAGAAGAAAGGATTTTGATGAACCGTAGTGTATTACCAATTCTATTCATCTTCTCATTGAGTTTTTCGTCACAGTACCTTTTGATAGCATGATGCAACCTCATTTTTTATGCTGTAGCTCATTTAGGGGAAGACAATTCCAAAACATGGAGTAAAATATTCAGCAGTAGTGCAAGCCCCACACGTGCATCAGGCCCAGCATTGCCACTGACCAAGGGAAGGGGACTGTCCCACTCTGTGCTATACAGCCTCACCTCAAGACTGAGAGCAGGTTTGTATAAGACAGACATAAAACTATTAGAAAGTGTCCAGAGGAGGGCTATGGAGGTGATGGAGGGTCTGGAGGGCAAGATGTGTGAGAAGTCCACTGGTTTATTCAGCCCAGAGCACAGGTGAGGGGAGGCCACATGGCAGCCTACAGCTTGAGGGGAGTGGAGGGGCAGCGCTGAGCTCTGCTCTCTGCTGGTAGCAACAGGGCCCAAGGGAACAGCATGGAACTGTGTCAGGGGAGGGTGACCTGGGGGTTAGGGACGGGTGCTGCATGAGAGGGTGGTTGGATACTGGTGCAGAGCAGTGGGCACAACCTCAAGCTGCTGAAGTTCAAGAAGCATTTGAAAAATGCTTTCAGACATAGGGTCTGCTGTAGAGCCAGAAGCTTCAGTCTTTGCAGGTCTCTCCCAAATCAGCATATTCTATGATTCTAAATATACCAATACCACTGAATCTCACTGGACATCTCAGGGCATGTTAACTTTGATCCGCTCTCTACTTTAGTATTGAGAGAACAGAATTCAGATAACCAGCAAAGGAAAACAGAAGTAGATTAAACAGCTATGCACTACCATATCTTTGTTCTGTAAATGTACACTTGGTGATTCATTATAGGAATATCCACATCAAAATGAAAAGCTTCCTGGTTTTGATATTATATGAAAATCCCTATCTGAACTTTGAAGTTGAGAGCGCTTGTTGTACTCTAGCTACCAGAAGTAGGAACATGCAGAGGAACTACTATTATCTTCCTAAGAATTTCTAAATCTTCAGCCAAATGCTATTAGGAATTCTGATCAAATCCTGAGGGATGGATAGATAGTTGTGGTTTTAGAGTAAGAATGCACAATGTTAATGCAGTATTAATCACTGAGCTGCAGAGACTACACAATCTCTCAGAACATGATTTTATTTTCGTATTTTGCTATTTAAAGTTAAGAGGGTAACACAGCAGCAGATTTATAAATTTAAATCTTGTTTGTTCTAATTAAAGGCAAGCTGCAAATCATTGCAAATCCTTTTTAATAGTGATTAACTTCAGTGCAGTTTTAAACAAATGGTTTAGTGCAGTTGCAGTTCTGCATAAAGGCTAAAAGTAAAGAGTTACAAGAAAAATGCAGAATTGCTACACAAATTTCAAAACGTGATTACTATTTTTCAAGAAAAGGCAGGAACAAGGCCATTGATAAAGCTGTAAACTCTCAAACTTGCTTTTCGCCCTACAAAGTTAAAAATTACCTTTTTAAGTAAAAACAGTACTGCAACACTTTACACTCCTCAGCATATGAAGTGTGAGAGTGGCATGAATATTGTGAAATTTGTGCCATCATACGTATGATAAGACAAGTGCCATGATAAGTATTTGAACTATAGTAATCTCATCTAGTTATGCTCAAAAGCAATGACCTAAAGAAAATAACTACTCCCCTTCTTAAACAAGTATTAGAAGGCAATGATTTGGGGGGTTCCTTGGGGAAAAACACAGTTGAACAAAGCAATTCTTTAAATTCTTTTTCATGGAAAAAAAAAAGGAAATTAAGTACTGAGATGGTGGCCGTTTTACTTGCAGATCTTCCAAGCCAAAGCTATCCAAACACCATCCCCTCCCTATAAAGTTTTTCTTAAGGTAGTTAAAGCAGAAAAAGTTCTGTGTGTACTGAAATAACTATCTAGTAGAATCTATAAATAATGAGCCCATGTAAGGAACAGAAGATGTCTAAGCTAGTAATTTCTCACTGAAGGAGCATGTTTTTAGATAGCATTAAAAGGATTTGTTATCCCGATTAGTTAATGCACTGAGTACTGTCCCCAACTTGGAGATGTTTGTTAAGGCAAAAATGGAACAAAGAACCAATCTCACAGAGCTTTCAAATGACTATGTGCAGTACAGGCACAATCCCTTCTAAATGTTCACTAGATAGACCTGAATCTGGCATGTTCCTTACTCCTCTGACTAGATTTCTGCTGCAGAACAAAGAGCTATGAAGTGACTTTTCACATGCTGCCAAGTAAATGAAGTATTTCAATACAGAATCATTATTTATATCACTGGCACTTTCACTAATACATTTCTCATTCCTGTGAGGTATGCTGTCATCTCTTTTTCTTACATTTTCCAGTAACTTATTATACAAAGGATGAAGGCGTATGCACATTTAGAGAACTGTTTCCATAGCAAATAAAGTGTATCATAGAAGAGGAAAGCAGTCAGTTCTCCATTTTAGAATCAGTCAGTGAGATATTAAAGCTAGAAGGTAGATAAGGGAGCAATAATATAAAAGCAAGTTCTTCAACATTCACTACCATGATACCACTTTAAATATTTCTACTTCCCCCACCATCATCTATAAAACAGCCTATAAGAACTATTTTCTAATAATAAATCACTACATACAAGCAAGGATTTATACAGTTTAAGAGGACTGAATGCTACTAAGACTCAACAGCTAACTGAACTAACCAAAATTTTTAACAAAAATCTTCGGAGCTGGAAATAGCTTATTTTCCTTCCACCGCACTTAAGTTGCACCTAGACAATTACATACAGAAGGAACACCAATTTCTCCAGTTTTCATAATTAACCTTTTTAAGTGAATAGATGATACTTTGCATAACCCACACATGCTGCACAACTACAGTGCAGAACTATATGCTATCTCCAACCTTTATTAAATAAGATGGAATCAAGCCAAGTAAGACATTTTACTTGAGTAAAAATCTAGTCAGTTCTTCTAGTTGTTATTCCAAATCATTCCTTCAATATGGGGACTAAGAAACCAAGTAATTTATTTTATGAATGGCATATTCTAATTTGCAAAAGATAATAAAAAGTAGCAAAGGACCTCTGTTCATATGAAAACTGAAATGAATCATTTTACTACATTATATCCTGTACACATAAAATAAATGTTAGACACTTTTTAAACTTATTAGCTTGCTAGATGTTGTCTAAACTTGCAGATATCTTTCCAAGCCAGAGATTGTGTTGATTAAAACAGGGTTCCATATCTACTATGATTGATTTTTGTTGTTGGTATTGCCTGAACATCACTCAGGCTCAATTTCTCCAGTCAGTAATACATCAAAACTACTATACAGTTTGATACTCTTGGTCATACTACATTCATTTAGAATTTCAGAAGCTAGCTGGCTATACACAGGAGAAGGAAATCACTTAAATATAAACAGCAGTAGCTTTTCAAGCACAAGTCTAGATCTACAAAACTAATGTACTCGGGGTTATATTGTCACTGACATGACAGTGAAGGTTCATGCATCCAGGTAGAGTCCCAAAGCTTCATCCTGATTTTCATTCTGCTATAAGTTTGAAAACTAAGAATAAGAAACAGCACAGTAGGTGCATGATTAAAAAAGACAAAAATAAAACCAACAACCTGACATCCACTACATCTAGCAATTCCTGCAGTCAGGTAGGCATTCAAGGAATTAATGTTATAAACAGTCTAGTTTTAAACACATTAGATAAAGAACTGGCCTTTTTCTAGTAGTAAAAAGCCTTCCTGTCATTACATGGGTCCATTAATCCTACTGATTTCAAGCCAGTTGAACATGAAATCCCATTTTATCGAAAGTTTTTAATCACACATTTTGATTTATATAAGCATGAAGCCAACAGGCCGTGCAAATGCTCCACTAGTTATGTTTTAAGTCCAGAAGACAGCATGCTGGAGATTAAGTGGGCTTAAGTGGATTTACAGTCCAAGTTAACTTGTGGAGAGAACAGGAAAATTATAGTAGTTCCAGGTTAACTAGGACAGTTAACAACCCCAACAAGGAGCAAAGTCAGCAAACAAAGAACACGGATAGGGTGCAACTCACTTTCTGAAGCTTTGCTACTTTCAGCTTTAAAAAAAGTTTGTAATTAAACTTGAAATGTCCAGCTAATCTGCACAAGCAAAATGGATGTATTCTTTGTGGTGCTACACAGTGGGAAGATGAGATACCATGGACATAATCAGACTAGATAAATGCTCACGAGGACAGTCAGGCATTGAAACAACTTCCCTGCAGGTCATGTAGTCTGCCATTGAATGTTTAAGACCAGAATACTACACAAAGGCCTTAACAGCCAGGTATGGCCTTACTTTGAGGATGATTAGAAGGGTTCTTAAGTTCTTGTCTAGCCTAAATTAATTTATAACCCTCAACAAGTTAAACCTTGTTTTAGTTTATGCCATTCTGTTCTGTGGTAATCTAAAAGCCTAACATAACTATTGAAATAAATATTTTCATTGATACTTGAAAACAACTTTATTTAAGGTGGCACATATGATGTGAAGATTCATTCAAAAGCATACACCATCAAGAGAAGATGCCCAAATATATTTATTTGTCTCTTAAAAAATATGTTACTCTTTAGAAAAGACAACAGCCTAGGTAATTTCAATACAGATTAAGTATATCCCATCTGGCAAATACTTCATGCTGATGTTTACTTAAACATCAGTATCAGACAAGCAAGCAAAGAATTATTTAGTCAGTAGCAGTGAGGTACCAAGACAGAAGAAACCCTTTAAAATTAAGAAGAACTCTAGAGTGTTTCAGCCTAGCAAAGCCAAAATTCCATGAAAATGACCAAGAACTGAAGTTCTCTACTCCTTTTAATCTTCATCTGCTGCCAGAAATACATGGATTATAACAAGGAAGTAAGCATCTCAGTAATCAGAGCTACAAACTGGTAAGTCAGTTCACAAACTCTGAGTAGTCAGAAGAGTGCAGCACTGTTCTAAAATTAAAAAAGGAGGCAGGGGATTTTTGACAAGCTAGAAAAATCCAGTTGAATTATTTTTTCCAAGGCATCTATTCTTATTCAAAATATTTAGAACCATCTCCAGAAAAAAGGAAAAAGCAAGTTCATTGTCATAGGACAGCAAGATATTTTACCTAGTCTTGCTAAAGTTTTTTGTGTTAGTGCATGAAAAGACTTCTGTATGTTTATTTCTAAGTGTGAGTACGAGTGAATTACCATAAACATGACAGAAATCAACAGTATTGATATACTTCACATGTAAAGTATTAGCTGAAAGTAATACTCTTTAAATAGCTGAAAATGTATTTTTGTTAGTATCTGCATAGCAGTGCCTTTCCATTAAATACAATCATTTACCTTTACCTATCTTGTTCTTACACAGTGGTGAAAGCAGCCTTTTCCACTTGATCCTGGTGAACACACCAATGATGATATTGGCCCCTTCAAGACTTCCAGAATGTCTTGATCCAAGAGAGCTAGCAAGGAGACAGACCCTCATAGTGGAGACAGATATGTACAAGTATAGGTGAGAAATCAGGCTAAAGCAGGGCATTATTGGTGACAAAAGAAAAATATTCAGAGGTGCAAGTGACTGTTCAGCTAAAGCCATGAGTGAGTCCTATTTGGAATGTAGCATATCCTAGAGTGCGAAGTAGACACTGAACGTTGTCTTTGTTCTTTTTTTAGGAGTGTAAACACTACCTTATGTTCCCAAGTAAGCACTAATTAGATTTAGATGAAGCCACTCAAGCAAGAAGAGTGAGAACTCACAAGATACTCTTGTTTAGCATGAAACTGAGTATGTAAGCACCCACAAGAATCACCTGTTCAGATAATACCAGACACCCCACATGGATTGTCACAATGCAGCACCATAGCAGCAGTTTGATTTAAGGAACAGTCTTGCTGCTCATTCCATCACATTTGTCAGACAGTGGTAGTATTAGCAGCACTGCGATTTACTCTCTGCTTTCAATGGGTCTAGGTCCAGTTTTGGTTTCCCCACATCATTCTCTTCATTAGGAAAGGTTTTATAGTTGGCAAGGATGTTTTCCACCAAGAATCGAGCAGCTTCATCTATGTTGATGTTGTCCTAAAAATAAGAATGCAAATAAGTTAGTTTGTTGGATTTTTTTTTTTTTTTTTTTTACTTTTAAAAAGTCACACTTCCCTGTTAGAAGCTGGCCAGATATAAACTTCTCTACAGCCACCAGCAGAACACAGGTAGCTTAGATGCAACACAACTGCTCAAAATTTTGCCTTTTGTAGAAAAAAAAAAAAACATTGGAAAAGTTTAGTAAAGCTATTCACCCACCATACATAAAGGATACCTCAACTCCAAAGTATTGTGTAGTCTGGGGATAAATCATCTATGTTCAAACAATTCATAAGTGCCAAGCTGCATTTATGCATCAGGAAAGATAACAGGCAATTACACTGCTTTTAGTAGTGCATGGCCTTTTGGGGCCTACTCTTCTTTCTACTGCAGTATGAATGAACTCATTTATCAAAAAAGATCTTTTCAATCAGCCCCAAAAACCCAGGAAAAAAAAAAAAAAAAAATCAAGGTGCCTCATCCACAATTTCCTTATGCATGCTTTGAGAAGTATCTTAACCTACACTCCAAAAAAATGTGTATGCAGAATACCTGAAGCTATATTTCAGCCTAGTACCTTAGTGTGCATCTCTATTCCTTATTTTAAGGTGGTCAGGAAGAGATTTGTTTCTTGCCATTCCTCTTACAGATCTTTGAAAAAAAATGCATCATCAGGTGCTAGAAAAGCCTCTGACATAAGTACACTTTATGCCAGTTTGTCAGCAGCAACCAAAGGAAGCACATAACTCAAGGGAAGAGAAGGATATTGAAGTTTATCCTAATATAATGAAATTATCAGCCAGTAACTGGCCCTGTCATACACATCGATGCTTGAGATTAAAGGTTTTTCAACACGAAGGCAGTCAGGTTAAGAAGCTGTTGATTTTACTTCCAACTAAGCTACGGTAAACACATACGCACATTGGCTGAGTTTGATTAAAACATTTGGAACTACTCAAAGGTAAGCTCTATTGGAGAAAAGCCACTGTCCCTTAGATTGTTTCTCTTTAACTGGGTCATTAGATTTTCCCTAGTTCAGTCTTGCCATTACTTAAAAAAGTAGAAAGTGGTTAAGTGTCATCATCTAGGTAGATAGCAGCAAGTGAGCAGATAGCTTTAGCCTGGAGTCTTACCACTTCCTATATGCACCAGAGAAGAAAAAAGCTGCAATGGGAATTCTTTCACTCAAAGATGCAGTGTTTTTTTGGTTTTTTTTTTTTAGATCAAAATGTATTAGCACTGACATCTAAAGGACAACACTGATCTTAATGCATGCAAGACCAAAAAACCTTATTGAATTCAGTTAATGTTTCCACTTTAGTGTTGTCTGAACATAAGATGCAGTTCAAACTAAAAATGCTGTAAGCCTTCCTTAGCAATGAACTATCCTGAACACCACTTCTATTTCTCATTGAACACTGGAATCTGAACTGTCACTTCCTACACCTGATAAATGTCCTTTCAATATGACTATATTCATCTGCTTTCATGCCAATAGGAAGCACACTTAACGCCTACCTTGGCAGATGTTTCAAACCATCCAATAAAGCCACCTTCTCTGCAGAACTGGTCCATTTGAGAAAGATTCTGGCTGCCATCTTTCTTCTGGTCACACTTGTTTGCAAGAAGAACAGCAGGGATGGGGCTGCCATTGGGAAGAAGTACTTTACTGTCCAAATCATGTTTCCATTTTGAAACAGCCTCAAATGTGGAGCCTCTTGTGACATCAAAGACCACAAAAGCACCAACTGCTTCTTTGTAGTAAACCCTTGTCATGTTTCCAAAACGCTCCTGGCCTGAAAAGGAAAGAAATAACAATTTTTATGTACTTGCATTCACCACAGTTTATGCTAAAGACTATCAGGTTAGTATATACAAGTTCACAAGTTCAGTCTTTAGGTCTTCTAACAGCTTACACATTGTCTCTTCCATCCTATGTAAGGTCATTGCAACAGCCAGTATGTACTCCCCCATGTGACAAGTTGCAATTGCATGTGACAAGTAAATACAAATGACAAGTAAGCTTTAAAGTATAGTTTTTAGTAGTGCCTTTTGAGAAGTAATGCCTAAAATCACTATCAGCACAACTAGACATAAGTCATTCTTCTCACAAAAGAATCTTCTTTGTGATTTAGATGTAAACCTAGCCATTTCAAATACGCATTTAAGAAAACACAACATTTTCCTGGAAGGCAGACAAGGCTTTCTGCAAGCACCAACGCAAACAACTTTCAATGAATCCTCTGAGTATCTTTTGAAGATATTTTCCCTTAGGGAAAGCTTGAAAGGAACCAGTTTAGTAGTTCATAAGCTTTTCTTAATTATTTTTAAATCAGACCTCTCTGTAGTAGTTTCTAATTACCAAAACCCCAGGATTTGGTACAAGGTGAACAGAATAGTTAAGGCACAATCATTCATAATAAAAATTTAGAAACAAACTAACCATCAGAAGAAAAGGCTTTTTTATTTTATTTTATTTTATTTTTTGAAGTAACATACAGTTCTTGTTGTCAGTATACTCAAGAAGTAGAATTAATGCCAGGTTCACTATTTGGAAGGTCAGATTTTCATATTACACTTATGCTTAAGTGAGCACAAGTGTCAGGTGTGATGTATGAGCACGTCACTTTAAATTTGGACTACTAAAATGGTTTTCTACTTTGTTCAGAAGCCTCTGGCAGAAGTGGTTCCAGCTCTATATTTTAGTTTTACAGTATATTTTCACTTCAGCTGTTAGCATGTATTCTGTATGTTCTAGAATACTAAATAAGGATTTTAACTTGGAACATCATTGTCCTTTCTCCCCCCACAATGACATTCAAGTTTACCTTTGATTTGCAAAGACTGTCACCAGAAGAAATAGGCATTATCTGCTCCAAAATGAATCAGAAGTCACTAGATGAAGGAACTTAACAGACTACACTATTTTAAGGTCAGTATATTTCAGATTAGCTTATCCCCTGCAGACACTTTCAGTGAAGACTAAATCTAATTCTATCATCTGATAGAATTGCCCAGAATCAGTAGTAGCTTCCAGCGAACTATGAAGATCTAGGAAGAAGACTTCCACCCCCCGTACAACCTCAAAGTACAATGGTGCAAGAAACAACATCACAAACCAATATTTTAGGGAACAGAAGCTAAACAGGAATTTAATCACTAGCAGCTGAGTATCTCTTCTGCGATCATAGGAAGCAAGCACAAAAGAAAAGCTCTTCCTTCCACACTCAAATCTCAAGTTTTGATGCAGGATTTCTGCCCAAGACTTTTAGGACCAACAAGCTGGATACCAAGCATGTATCTATGACTGTCACTGGATGAAGTGCGTTCTTTCTGAAGTGTCAGAAAAGTTGCACAGAAGTCATCTGCCATAGTGGAGTTACTATGTGTGAAAATTGTGCCAAATAGTACAGGAAAATGATCGTACCTTAGAGATTAAAAAGCTAAAAGTGACTAGATGAAACTAGACTTAGTGTCTTGTGCACAGAACTGTGGGAAAGGCCTGGAGTATAACAATGCGGTTATTACAGGAGTATGGAAAGAACATAAGGATTAGTCATGCTTGTAGGTGTATTGCTTTGATTTGCCTGACAGTAGCACAGACATTTTTCTGTTTCAGGTTCAGGCCAAGCTACAATGCAGTCATGGACAGAGGTTACGTCTGGGGGTACAAAAGTGGCTGCATACAGTGCAGAGTTCTGTATTCTCTAACCACAGAGTTTTCACATCTAAATGACTCAGCACGCATCACCATATTTTCCAGTAATTGCAACAGCAGTAAGTGAAATAATTGCATAACGTCCTGCACTGGCAACTAGTTTGGTTCCCTACAGTAGCATCACAGGAACTCAGCTTAGTTTAAACCTGTATTAAACTTCTGGAGCTTTTCTCGATTCCCAGTTTAGCTCTGTTACCATATAAGGTAAGTCAAAAACTACATTTAAGGAAAGACTTATAGCCTAATCTGACAATAGAAACTTTAATTTACTACAAGAGATGGATAATCAATAAGAGAATCAAGTATTGCCATCCTTTTCTTGAAGTTTATTTATGTATACATAAGCGCCTATGTTCCTATAACAGTTTGTCCCAGTGCAAGAAATACACAAGGGAATCCTGTTTAGCAGCATGACTTACTGTGGTTTGGCTTTTCAGTGTGCTCCTACTATTAATGTTGATCTTAATTTCTGATTATAGGATGGAAACTGAAGCTAAGAAAAGCAATTTAAGTGTGCAAATGACTGCTGGATATGCACAGTATTGAGTATGTGTGGGTTCATTCCTTCAGAAGGACTCTCCTATACCTAAAGCCTTAATATGCCAGAAATCAACTTACTGACAGCAAAGTGACCTATCTGAAAGTTTTCCCAGCTATGCTCTCTGCTGGGAAGATAGGTTTTGGTTCATCTGACAATACCAAAAGCATAGAACAAGTCCCCCTACTTTGTATGATCTGATTTTCCTAGTCAGTTCTGAAGCAATGCTACTCTGAGAAACCTGGGCTGTGTTAGATGCAACTAAGCCCTTTTCTTCACCTAGAGCACTACTACGAGAAGTAGTCTAACTTCTCTCTTGGAAGAAACTACCAGTTATGACATTCTCCAAAAACTGTGTCATTGGTGAGGATGGAAAAGATGACCATGTGTTAAAAAGGCCTGACAACTGGAAGAATTGTGAAACAAATAGTTTCTCTTGCTGAAGGCAGACTATTGACAGACTACTCAGTGAACGGCCAGAATTCAAAATCTGATCCTGAACACATCTGGCAGTTCAGCATCAAGTAATCCTAAGCTATACAAGTATGACTGAAGTGAAGAGTACCCAGAAGTGAAAGCACATCTAGCTGAAGAGTTTTGCTTCCAGTCAGCAAGTAACTTTGAAGATCATTCCCACTAGTTTTACCATTTTTTCCTCACTGGACCCAGTAACAGTTGTCAATATCTGATAAATAATTAAGTACTCAGCTTGTAAATAAAGCCAAGCAGCTGTTGCTAACATTGTCCTTTAGAATACTGAAAGGTATTTTAAGGCAGTGTAATAAGAAATAGCCCACATAAGAAATAATCTATAAAACCAAGCCAAGAGATCCTGCTATACTTCTTTCTTCACAGTAGTGAAGAAGGTCAGATGTTAGAATCCTACTGAATCCATTCAGAAAGTTCAAGATCCATAAAAGTTCCAACCTGATAGAGAGTTACAGTTATACTTTTATTTCAACAGTAAAAATCTCAAGTATAGTTTTAAATATTGCAGACTTCAGTATCACAGGATGCTTATTAAATCATAATGAGCAGACTAGTGTTAATCCGGGAATACTTGAATTTTCTCCTTCCTTTGTGAGAAGGATCAACTGTTCACCATGACTCTCAAGAATCAATGTGAGTCATGTCACAATTCACAAAGGGTGACACTACTGAAAGCCTAGTTTAAAAAGAAGATTCCTTAGCTGTCTTGTCTGGTGGCCTAAGTGCTGGGATAAAGCTCCTGCAGGTACAGAAATACTGATTTTAATCCCTATAGAAGTTTTGAAAGAACCTCCTGCTCAGTGTTTCACAAGTCAACACATTTGGAAGTACATAAGTATCTCAAAGTTGATACTCATTTAGTCCAAAACAGTTCAGAGCTAGTCATAGCAGGAATCTCTTAGATAACAATTCTGCTACAAAATCAATATTGATCACAGTGAACAGTACAATACTTAGAATACAAGGACAATACTTATTTCCTCACAGACATCCAACTTGCACTTCCAGAGGCATTACCCAACTTCTAGAGTACAAAGCAGAAGACAACTTTTTCCAAGGAAAAAGCTTGTACACAACTACCATGATATGATGTCTAAAGCAGAAATGCATCAAGCTTCACTACAGTACAAGTTTGTGTACATGCATGAAGAAAATAGATCAGTGCAAGTAAGCACTCTGGATGTATGTAATAAAAAGCCTCCTTTAATGAACTGTGAAAAAAATGGTAAAACCAAAGTTCTGTGAACATTTAGAATAGACTCAATGAGACCAGCACTATGCACAGCCTTTGGTAGCTGAGCACACCAGGAAGTATGGTCCTATGTCCTTTTAGACTTCACTGAGCATCATCTCAGATCCAGAACACCCATCACCAAGCCAGAAAAGCTCTAATGCAATTGTCAGCACCATGGCTTACAGGTTCTTGCTATCAACTATTCTGACTACAAACCATGTAGCATGCTAGCAAAACATGTACCTGTGCTAGTATGCTGTATGGTTCAGTCTTCAGTGGTGAACTCTACAAATTAGTTATGTCACTGTCCTTAAATTGGTTTGAAACATTTGTTTTTACTTAACCTAGACAGGAAAGAATTGAAAAAAAAAGTTTACAGCAAATGAAAATCTTTCTTCCTTGTCTTCCCTTTCCTTGAAGTAATGAACACTTTCTCTCCTGCTTCAGCAGTGCTGCTGTAGAGATTAAAACCTCAGGCTTTCCAGATGTCTAGGTCAAGCACTGACATATTATCAGGGGAACATCTCAGTGGCAGCTCCTTATCTACAATGCCAACTCTCAGCACAGTTCACATCACACTGTATGGTAGATTTAAGTTACAGCACCATCCAAATGGGTTGGGCATGCAGCCCAAACCCATCACTAATAGTTAGGTAAGTTTTGAATGGGACAGCAGTTCCAAATCCCTAATGAGATGTAGGCAAGAACAGACTACACTATGAATGCCTGTTGGTCTTACAGCTAGATGTCAAATGCAAGATAAGGATGAGGATGTATTGCCCCATTCTCCAGACAGTTGAAACACATTTTAGCACCA